ACTATATTACATATAATTTAACACCTGAAACAACACTGATAAAAAATATTCAATAAACAGATGAAGCACATGAACAAAAGGAGCCCACAGAGCACGTCAGGGAAAAGCAAACTGTATTTAGCAGCATTCAGATCATCACTCTGACTGCACGGCTGACCGGACAGGATTAAACAACACTGGTCCAACAAAAAGCTACACGTTGAGCAGCTGGTATATCGTCGCCTCAACGCCATCCTTTGTTGTGTTTGTTGACACCATGACACTCTTTGCTGCTCTGTTGTAACAATACCACACACATTAGGTGGCGCTTGACTGGTGGACTAGCAACACGTTCTCACTCCCAAAGCGTAACATTTTACGCTAGGTGACAAATCATCAACATATTACGTTTTCGGCTACCCACGCTCTTATTCTTCAAATCGCTTAGAAACACGCTATTTAACATCATTAAAGTCCTGGTTAAGGTCAGGAAAAAGGTTATGGTTAGGGTTAGGGCTGGAACGCCTATTACCGCGGGACCGCCAATGCACTGGATTTCAGCCATAACCCGCCGCATACCATAACAACACCGAAGGTCTCCTTTCGCGTTCCTCAGGAACGCCGCGGGACGTGACAAAACGTCGGCATGTTACGCCTCGGGAGTGAGAACGGGCTGGGACTAGAGGCATCGGTTAATCCGGTGACGATTAGCATCCAAACTGTTCTACCTCGTGAAGCACAGCTGCCTGGTGCACAGGGCCAGGTTTGGACTACGAGCTTGACTGTCTGCCTGATGCTCGGTGACTGATTTACTTCTTGTGAGGGAGCAGGAAGCCCCGCTGCATCCTCAACGCAGAGCAGTGACCGGGCTCTGAGTGCACCTTTTTAAATGCAAAATGCATCTCAGGGCTCTCTGAGCACGGAAAGGAGCCATTTCAGCACAACGTGTGAGTCGACACCTTCTAGTCGGTTACTTTGTCAAAGGAGGCTCACAGCTGAGCGTGTCCCTCTGTGGGATTCATCCCTGGTATCAGAGGCAGTTTCTCATCACCATTTGAATTCTAAGATGAAGATGATGCTGTTGCATCAGTGAAACACGTCACAGATATTCCAGCTGTGCTCCTACATTAACAGTCAGTATTTCAGATTAGCTTATGTGGCAAACTGGGAGTGTGTGTATCTGTAGAGTAAAGCACTGAGAAACCTTTACTCCTGTAACCCCTGTTCTCTGATAATATGTGTCTCACCAGATCAGCTCTGCAGAAAGCTTGTCATTAACGTTAGACTGAATGATTCTTCAGCACCGTGTAAATGAAAATGTACGGCTCCATCTTAACCCTTTAAAGCCGGTCAGAGCAGCACGCTCC